ATTATATTTGATCTTTAAAATCAATACTCTTCAAGATCTCCAAACTTTTCAATATACAAAAAACCTTATTATTAAATAACTGAATTTTATAAGAACAGAATGGCGTAGAATTTAGATATCTTATAAGCTAGCTTAATATTAGTTTATTATAACAACTAGTATTACTTAATTATAATATTAGTTGTTTTCCCGCGACCACAAGCTATGTTATTCTGAAGTCCCGTGCATAATGTAGTTTCGCATAGGTGAAAGAATTAATGGGTGAAAAAATCGGTTCAGTAGTTTCGAGCCTATTAAATGGAAACAAACCATCAAATCTTTCCTTTTTATTATATTAGTCTAGATAAATATTGTTTGTGGTAATGGTATGAAAATTGATGTTTTTAATGAAAAATATTCTTAATTAATTAATGAATTTATGAAAAAATAAATGAGTTGAATAGCTAAAACCACTACATTGTGATCTATAAATTAATATATTTTATATACAATGACGCATTGTGGAATCGTGTTCCTTATATAGGTAAACTTTTATTAATATGTAGTTAACTACGTGAATTTAGTTATCTTATAATTTTATGACATATAAATCTAATACATTATAGGCAAGTAGCATAGAACTATGTTTATTAACAGCCACAATGTAAATAGAGTATCTGTAGTATATTATTTTTACGTTTCATAGTAATTTTATTACTCGTTTTACTTCGTGTTTTAGAGTATTTATTATTCTTTAACTAGAGAAATGCGCAAACCACTAACTAAATAACTGACCGCCATCTTACGTGAAACAATTAAATTCCTCGAAAAACTACTCAATAAATGCAAACGCAGATTTGGTGGCCTCTACGTGTTGTATGCAGATTTCGTCCTTGCTTGCAAGCATTGCACTTTGATACGGTGATGTTGGCAAATGTAGACTTGCAAGCCTGATTTTCAATAATTTCTCATCACTTTCAATATTTCAATCTTTGATTCTCTGTTATGTTGCATCTACTATTTCTATCGGGTACTATTGAGTGTTCTACTTATAAATCCTCTGAATGTTAATAAAGTAAATGATCTTAATCGCTAGTCACAAAAGGTATATAATATCCAAACAAAATAAACGTGTTTTGCTACTTTAAATCGTGTAAGTGAAACGATGTAATTTGCAAAGTAAATATTTATTTAAACATTCAGGAAAACCTGAGCAATTTATTTGAAGTTACCAGCTAAAATTTTTATTATATGTTAATTTGTAAGGTAAATATTTTTAGTTGAAAACTTAATTTGTTTTATTTTTTGTTACAGGTATGGTTTACAAAGACTATGAAATTCCGATAATCTGTAAGTATTCCAAGAAGAACCATAAGAAAATTCAATTATTGCTAAACACTTGAAAGTGGAAAAAATATCGTAAAATAAAAACAAAAAAATATATATATAAAAGACTTAACTTAAAAAAGTGAAATGTAATACTTATCTCAAAAGTGACTTATTCAAGAAAATGCTATTAAAGTCGGATGGACGTTTTCTGGAGGTTATTAATTAAATGATAGGCGCCCTACTTCAATAGCATTTTCTTGATCAAGTATCGGTGGGTATATATTTTTTTATATATGTACATAATATGATCACTAAATTCTCCATCCAATTTTCAAAATTTTTCTTCATTACACTCCATCAGAAATTATCAGCAGCGCACGAGTTATTTTTTTTACAAATTATATTATTATTTTACTGTTACCGCTTTTTGGATACACTGTACATTTTCACTGGTTTGACTGGTAGAAAATCCCTTTTGGCATTAAGTTCGCTATATGATATGTTACAGGCAAAAAGATTTAATAAACGAGAAAAAAATATATTTTGATACATATTACTTGTCTTACATTCCATCCAATGTGATTGTGATTGTGAATCACCTTGGGAGTTAAATTATTTTCGGACAATAAAGGTTCATCAAAATAGGTCTATAGTTGTCGTTGATATCTTGGAACATATAAATTTAAACCTCCTTTACTTCGAGTTACTGACAAATGGAGTTAATATGTACACCTTTCGTGGTGTCAAAGAGTAATTAAAAAAGCAAGAATTAATATCATTATAAAATAGTACAAGACGATAGTTTTTAATTAAGAAAGTATAAAAAAATATTTTTCGTAACCATTTAAAATTTCCAATAACAAATTATTATAAAGTTAAATCTTTGATCATGATTTATCTTATGATCATACAACGTAAAATAACTCTTGACAATTACTTTGACATACGCACTACATTTTGTTAAAGTAATATTGCGTCGTATAAAACTCACAATAAAGTCGTGATTTCGTACTTATGCCTTCATTATTTGATGTAAATTGATACATGTTTTGTAGTTGACTAAAAACTTACGAATATGTATCGTGCAATTGACAAAAAAAAAATGATTTGATTTCAGATAGAGTTGTGGCCTCTTTTGAAGCATAATACGGTAGTAGGACTACAGTAGTAGTTAGACTAATTGAATCGCTATAGATTACAAATCCAAGGCCTGTCTTAAGATATTATTAGCATTTCTTAAGCAAAATCAAACTGATCACTAAACTAAGATCGTGTGATGTGATTAAGACACATTGATCATAGGTTTCAAATTATTAGCAAATTAATAACTATGAGGGTTTAATATTTGCCAGTCGAAACAGGAATGAAGGTTAAGCTTCATTTGAAAGCACATCGTCATTTTTCTGTCGCTTAGTATTATCGCCAACCAACCGGGCGACAGCGGAGCGTAGATTAGTGCAGAGCACGCGCCAGTGTTCGACTGCGTCCGCCCGAAGGCTACATCTGATAGAAAACATTTCACAAGTTCGAGTGCATGGACCTTAACAGTTGTATAGAATTCTAAATTTCCTTTAGCACAATAAGAAATGTTTTCTGATGCCCTCCGCCCGCCGCCGCCGCCTGTTTGGTGGAACACGTACAAAACGAAAAAAGATGAGTCTGTAGTCAGCATTAGTGCTACATGCACTTAATTAAAGATAGCGTTATACGTGCTATTTTACAAATAACATCAATGTTTTTGATTTTTAATTTACAAAAATAAAAAAGTTAACATGCTTTATTATGGAAACTAAATTATGCAAATAAGATCTATCTTAAATTTAGAAAATAAAATATTGTTCGTAAAGAGAACATTGAACACATAAATTTATCGAGTACATTAAGAAGTTATTCACAGTCAACAGCACGTCAGATTATATAAAAATTTAAAATCACTCCACAGCATTTGTAACCTTAATTCATCGCTTGGTATAATATAAATACCAACTTGCTCAACTTGGTATAATTATTTTTCATACTCCTGAGCTGGTTATAGTATACTTTTCATCACGCTACAATCAATAGGAGCAGAGCAGTGAAGGGAAATGTTGGGTAAACGGGAGAAGTTACTCAATTTTTTGAGCTTCCGTCGCGTGTGCAACCTTAATGCTTAAAGCTACCCAGATATCATGTATGACGGAAGTATTCTCCTTAAAATTATATAAAAAATATCCCACGACAGCATATGTCTATCTTTTATGGTTGACTCACAATAACACGTGTAACTCCCGACAGCTTAGCAGTTCGAAGCTTTCTGATTGTATTTGTCTATTGTCTACTCTTACGTTTATAACACTCTCAGTCATCCCTAATTAAAAAGTTAACAGAATTAAGTATTCCATAAAAAAGAATCATAGAAATTGGTATAGAAATATATTAGTGGAAATTGATTTTTGAGAAACACATTGGTTTAATGACATTAGTCTTCAGGTAGCTACAAAGACGAACACATGACAAAGACATGTCTTATAAAATAACAGGAACCTAGGGTTTGTTAATGTTAAGTTAATAATTTCATTTTGTTACTATTTTATCATCCTGGATCCGATATATCTATACTAATATTATAAAGCTGAAGTGTTTGTTTGTTTCTTTGAAGGCGCTAATCTCAGGAACTACTGGTTCGAATTGTATTATTATTTTTCTGTTGAATAGACCATTTATCGAGGAAGGCTTTAGGCTATATAACATCACGCTGCAACTATTAGGAGCGAAGAAATAATGGAATACGCGGACGAAGTCGCTGGCGGCCACTAGTTTATACTAAATTCCTAATTACGAATAAACTATAAAGTATTTTTTATATTTATGATTTAATCGCCTTTTATTTAATTTTGTGTAATCATATGGAAGCTATTATAAACATTATTTTTAGTAAAAACTTACTGTTGCTATACATTGCTGTTATCGCAATTAAACCAATTATTCATGTAATAGACATGATAATATTCTGTATGTTTGCTAAATTTAAACAGAAAATGCGTGTGTAAAGAATGTATCTCATATATTTTCGTAATATCTATCTCATATATTTGCAGGTGTCGGTAACAAAGATACTTATTTTCCAATGATATATTTAGGTTGTTAAAATATGTTTTCTTCTTAATTGATTGTAGTTGCTATGTTATTTTTTTAATTTTAGTATTCATTATCTTTGATAAGGCTAAACTTAAAACATTAATTTTTCATCGGTTTAGTTGTTATTTTATATCGAAAGTTTTATATTTGTTTCATATAATCTTTATACAATATATAACAAAAATTAATATAAAATATAACCATGTATTTGAACCCATATAAGATTACTCATTGCGATAATAAAGAGGGCCATATCACGCACATTACACCGTGACAAAGTCGGCATCATATCGATAATACGAATGTCTTTAAACACATACGACATTTTTGTAAATGGTATTTCTTAAGAGGTTTTCCTTGATTTGGTATACGTATTTACCTGATCAAACATACTGTATATGATCGAATATCCTCTCTCAAATCAACAATGCACGCATGTCGTATTCGATTATCAACCGGCCGTGACGTCGGCATCGCCGTCGTCTGGCCACCGGCCAGATTTTCCGCTAGAGCCTTCGACCGCCCTGTAAACTCGATCGAAATCGTAATTGCGATCGTAAACAATGGACGAGTCTGCATTCGCGCGTGGAACAGCGTGCTAACCGCACGTGTGGTGCCGAACAGGTACAACTGTCGTGTTAAGTTAGTTTACTTTTGTGCCTTATCGTGCTCAATTACACCTTTTATTTGTCACGAGCCGAACGAGATGTACTTATCTTGATACATTAGGACAGAGAGTGATAAACGTACGTCCTTATCGAAGCAGTTCCTGAGATTGTGCATGCTCTTGACATTGTAGTGCAGACTTGCGTGAAAATTGTCGTCAAATAGTGAGTTGAAAAAAATTTTGTACGTTGGTAATTTGAAAATTTCGCGTCGTGATATTAGCAGTAGCGACAATTAGTTTCGATTTAATAAATATTCATAGGTTCATTATTATTTACCCGGAAAACGCGTTATCTCCACTTATTGTTCTGGAATCATTGTTATGTTGATTTCTAGATGAAGCACTAGGATTGTTGTTCATAAACCATATGAAACGACTAGAGATTAGCGGAAATGACTATTGAATAGCGGTGTCATTTAAAAAAAATATACTCGTATGAATGCAAGCCATTAGTGCCACTAATTTCGCGCTTTAAAAAGATTTAAAACAAAATGCTTATGTGACGATATCGATCATTAGTTTTGTTGACAAGGTTCTCTTAATTTTTTCTGTCTGTTTCAAGGAGAGCTTCGGACAGGTCGCTATAGTTTTCCGACAGTCACGTGTTTGTGATGCGACCTACCGTGAATAAAAGCAAAAAGTTCAAGAAGTTAATTTAAATACGTAAAACGAGTGCTTGGAAAATTTCTTATCTATTACTATTAAATTATATTTGAGATACGGTAATAGATTTTATAATTTAATAACTGATTTTATTTCTTTAACTAGCTAAATGACTTCTTTAATTACTAAGATAACAAACAAAACTAAGAGAAGTTCTAAAAATCTTTCAATATTGAAATATTTTATACCTATCAGCTGAATAGTGAACTTATCGTCAGGGAAACAACAAATTACGTAATTTATAAATTTGACAAATAACGAACGGTACCTACATTAAACGTTGACTAGCGTACTCTCTTAGTATTTCTCGCATTTAAAGATTTTACATGCAGTTTTTATATGTTGATTCCCTAATATTTATTCAAATGACAATTTTTGAAATAAATTTATGTAAATTTAATTATATTTTTAACGTCACGTCTTTACGAATATTTTCTTATTGTTTAATTTCTACTTATAATCGTGAAAAGGTAAGATTGAGTTTTACTTTGCGGTTTAAGTAAAATGTTTTTGATCACTCAAGTATGGTGAATATTATAGAAACTGTACTATTTTTTTCCTGTTGCCAGGTTTTAATAGAAATTTAATTCCTGGCACGATAAGGCGATCACGTTATTAAATGATTTATTTTGAGAAATTTTATCCTCTAATGCGACTAGACTTTTAATTGTAGAGAAGGTAAACATTGCTCTCTAGTTCTGATTTTTTTATTTTTATTTTTGTAATTTAAAATATATTTAATAAATGCGTTTTTTTATTTGCGTTTAAAAAAAAATATTCTCTAACGCGACTAGCTTTTTAATTGTAGAGTTTAAATTAGTTTTTAATAATTTTGACTTGACCACAGGTAATCGAAGTTTTTTAACAATATACAAAATTTTAAAAAACACACTGATACTATAAAATAATTTACATTTCGATATCGACTTTAGTAAATTAACTTAGATGTGGGTATAGAATGCTTATAGTGTGTGAATTGTGATCTCAGACGAGTGAAGTGAATAAAAATATGTCACAAGAGTGAAGTGAAGTCTGTTCGAGTGAAAATCGCAGAGAAAAACTGGAGGTCGACACGTATGAAGTGTCAGTTGCCGTCCAGCTGACAACAGATGTCGCTCCGATTGAAGTCGGTGAGTTATCTCATTTTAATTAGAATCGAAACGTTTGAAAACTGGAATACTGATTTATAATGATTATACAATCTCAAAATAGCCCGTATACCTGACTAAGATAAATGTATAATTAAATTTTTGTGGAAATCGTCTGTTATATAGTATGTAGATGTAATGTCAGTGGAAAAGAATGGTTTATCTATAATTAAAATATTGTAACGTAATAAATAAACAATTTAAATATTTAAAATATTATAAAGAGCAAAGCTTTGTTCGTTTTGATTAATTGCATTGTATAATCATCCGAAACTACTGGATCGTTTTAAAATTATTTTACCTACAGGAAGGTTGGCTTATAATTTACGAAGACGAACTCGCGGGGAAGTAGCTAGTAGTGAATATATATATATATTGATTTAAAATATAATAATTTTGCATTTTATTAATACAAAGTAATTTCGATACGTATTACAAGTCATAAATAATAATAACACAAATTCTATCGCTCTCGCATAAGCAACAGTAGTTTACAAAAACGACTCGAATGCTAGGGTGAAGCATAATAATACGTTTCAATAACCTATCTTAACATTTCAATATAAGACTTTGAGCTACTTAATGATTACAGCAAAAACTCTTGGTAAAGAAATTGAGATATACCTAATATAACTGTTATTTTAAATCGCAATCAAGTTTAGCTCTGCTAAGAATACTTTACCGGTCAAGTTTATGTAAGCACAGATAGTAAATCAACATACTCGTCAAATAATAATAATAAAATCGTCATGTTATTTTAGTTAGTTAACATGATTCAAAATCTCGTAACTTGCTGTTTAATTTCGTATTACTGACTCTAAATGGTATATTAATTTTAAAATAATACAGTTCCTACTAGTGACTACATTTCTAATACATACTTGACTGCTCTATTATATTTTTTAAACATAATAACTTAAAAATGTACATAAAATAGACATACTTATTACTTATTTTATAAAAAAATCGTGAGAGAAGATATATATTAAAATAAACACCCTTTAAAACTTGTTAGAGAGTTTATTACATAAAGAGAAATTATAAATGCTAGGTGTCTCACCGAGAATTCTCCCTCGTGAATTGTATTTCCCGTAAAAGAATGAGTCATATTCCTATATATTAATGTAGAATAAACCTTATGTGAAATCGGATTGAGGCTACTATATTTTATTTAAGTATAATGCCTATCGACTTGCCATTCTCAATTTATATTTCAAAACAGATAGGTATTAAAATATATGTATATAGGTACCTATATATCAATAGCTGACTGCAATAAAACATATCGTCTATGAAGAGTCAATAAATAATAACTGCAAAAATGCAACTTTTCAGGAGACGCAAAAAACGTTTCAAATCTATTATATTAGTTTTTTCAGTACATTGCAATTATTGTTTATCTTACAAAAACATAAGAAACGAACCCAAAATCTTTGTCACTATTGTGTAGTAATCTATTTTACAACGAATAATTCAATAAAACAAAAATTGACAAAATATCGGTTATTATTTATTGACTCTTCATGGGCGATATGTTATTATTAGAAATAATCTGAAGGATATGTTTCCGACGTTTTATTTAAACTTATATTTACGTTATAATGTGCAAATCGCCAGACAACTTTGATGGCTTATACGCGGCAATTGTAGCATTAGAAAATTTTCTAATAAAACATTTTGTCTTTTAATGCCAGTTATTTTTACAGACAAATATTATTAGCTGTTATTATTTTTAAGAAATATTTACAATGATATATCGATAGAATAGCTTAAAGGTCTAAATCGCTTAAAATTGTAAATAAAAGGTGCTGAGTAAACAAGATGAAGAGACAGTTCGTCAATGAGAAAGTTTATTGTACAAAAATCCATAGGCTCGTTATAAATAGATGTTTTAAATAACTACGTTTTGGTTTCGTTTTAGAGCTAGTTAGCCAATTAGAATTATATTATATTCTCAAGAATAGGTTAATTCTATAGTGCGACAAATAAATCCATATTATTGTTTGCCATTGATACATAATAATATTGATAATTTTGTTTGATAAGGTCATTTATTATAATTATTATTGATTTAATCTACTTATCGAACCTTGAGTTGTCTTCTAGCTTATAACTTCTGGAAAAACGTATATTTCCTCAATCGTAAGGCGCTCGGTAAGTCTTACAATAAATAGGATTAAATAATTAAATTAATTATCTAGACAAATAAATTAAAGATCGTATTATTGAAGGAGTTTTCACATAATAAACAGGACTAGAATGTTTATGTTAAAATATTTTTGACGGGGTACTATTTTGAGAAACCTAGAAACCATTTTGTTATAAATAATATCTATGGACAATATAGGTGTTTTAAAACAATTCAAACAATTAAAATTGTAATATAATTACTTGTAAACATACTTAATGACCAATGTACCTATTTCTCAGAATGCAATTGAAGATGCAACTCTTAGATTATATTCATGCAACTATTTATTTTTTCTATTCCATGGCAAGTACATTACACGAGCTTGAACTAAGTACCATTATACTATAATCTAGTATCATTTCTGTACCAGACAATCGAATGCCAAATGCACCAATGTAAATTTTTGAATGTAAAATCACAAAAGCTAATTTTTTATCATTTTTTTTATCGAAGGTAATTTTAAAAATAACTTATAGGATAACTTCATTCTACTAGAAAAAATCTCTAGGGATTACAATTCCTAAGTCCACTACAACAACAATACTGACGTGCACAATGTCGCCATCAGATTATTTCAGTTTACATTATCTGTGGTTTAACATAATTATGAAGCAAAACCATAATTATTTTTCCTTTTATCACATACGAGCTCAGCAGAGCGTTAGGTGACACAAGGTTAATGGTGACATATCAAAGTCAAATTTTCGGTACATACCACCAATGGCCTTTATTCATTTCAGATTCCGAAATAGACATTGATGCATAATAGAAATCTTTGTCTAATGACAAATTTTGTGATTTGAAATTATAATGGCAAAATATTTTAACTATATTTTAATTACGTTACAATTGTCAATTATTATAATTTTTCCCATTAGCAAATATACTTCAGTTTTATTTTTTCTATGATACAATATTATCGAGGTCAACGACCTCCGTAGCCGAGTGGTTCGCACTCCGGTTTCAATTTGTCACCATCTCTTGTGACTCCCGGACGGGTCAATGTAGAAAAAGTACTTCTATATTATCTCAGGTGTGGATGTTGCAGTGACTAGTCTCAGATACTCCATAATAGCTACTCATCTTCGAATCTGAGTAATGCAACCAATATTTATTTATTTAATTAAATTATCAATGTAAAAACATTTACCTACTTTTAGTTGTAAATTCGAAGAACATCGCTGAAGCAGGTTAATAAAGATTTTGATATTGAAATCCACAGACTGTCGCCCTTTCACGCAATGATAATTCGTTAAATAAGAAGCAGCGAAGACAGCACGAACGTTAGCACGATTGGTTAGATCAAGTCACGATAACTCCGACCTTGTCGGTAATAAGTACTCAGGTGATATAAACTAGAACTTGAATGGTTATTTTCTTTTAGTAATACACGTAGTGCAATCCGTATAGGGCATTTGTTTCAAGATAATATAAATCTACATATAATAAATGAATTGGTTAGCGCGTTCTGCCTGAGATGCTGAGAGTAATCGTCTTTCTAAATATTAGGTGACCAAAAATTTTAACTATTGGTCACGGCTGCATTTGCAGCGTTCATCAAGCTACACTGGGCTAGCGTGGATTAAGGCTCGTTCTGCCTATTCAATTCAATTCCATCCATAGACAAGGCCTGTGGCCTGTGCCAGCGATGAAAACATTAAAAATGATTATGATTTTATAAATTAATCGGTATAGGTATATGTTTCGAAGCGCAATAATCGAGAACTGAATGACTTATCTCTCGATTAAAAAAATTACGAAGTTATACCTAAAATTTCAATTTCAATTGTTTCCCGTTATTATACTCTTTTTATGGGAAAAATCAATAAATATCAGCTATAATGTCTACTCCGTAAAGGCTTTCACAATAATCGTGATAGTTTAGGAATAAATATATTAAAAATATCTATCGGGTGTGTTTATTTCGTTTTCTTTTTTTTTTCATGGTATTAAACAAAGCTGTCAAATATTATACGTTAATTATTTTGGCTAAATTTGGTTATTCTTGAAGATGCAGGTATAAAATCATGCCAAATTTCCTTGATTAAAAAGAAACTAGAGCAATATTCGTTAAATAGATATTAAATAAGGATATATCATAACGTTTCTCACATTCTTAATCATGCACTCTTGGCAGAGTGGTCTTGATAACTCCGAGATCGAGTCCTGTGGCACCATTGTCGCCATGTGTCATTATCATTAAAAAGATCCAGGCATCTCATAAGTCGAACCTTTGTATTTTTTTTATATTCCGGGATCTTTCCTAAAACTATGCGAGTTTCTCTACCGCGGATCTCATATTCGCAACTTCCAGCATTAATAACGATAAAATCTAGATAAATGTGATTTTTACTACATACCCTGCACCCCACTATTTCAATTACACCGAGATCTAAAACGACATGTTTACCTTGAATCCGATATAAATCGCAGTGTTGATATTAAGAACTACTTTTAATTTGGTTGTAGGTATGGTATGTGATAGCGGTTAACTTGCATAGTTCACAACCAAGTATAGCCAGATCTTACTTTTCCATTTCTACGAAAACCGTTTTCAAATAATAGGCTATAAAATTTACTATTGGACATGTTAACACTGCTTCAAAAGTAACGGTGTGTTCCTATAATAGAATAATACAATATTGAATTGCTTGGCAAATCAGTTTGCAATAACACGGTTTACAGTTAAGTGTAGGTAGTGTTTATTAAAATTTTATAAGCTCAAACAACATTAAATTAATTATTTTTAATACATACATTTACATAATTAAAATTGATTTTTTATGTATTA